AAAAGGTCTAGAGGGTGAAATTGTTGGGTCTTGATGGGTGGAGCAATGTCCACAGTGATCCTGTTGTATGTGCTTATGTGACAACAGAAGAAGCGAAAGTCTTCCTTACAGAAACAATTGATGCATCAGGAAATGCACACACAGCAGAATACTTACAAGAAGTAGCAGTAAAAGCTATAACTGTGAAAAAAAATTCAAATGTCTATTACGCAGCTTGGTCACAAACAATGCTGCAAATGAGAAGAAATTATTTAGAAGAGAGAGTCCAAGCTAATAACATACGGTTGCGAGCTCATTTGATGCACCTCCTAGCCAAAGACTTCAGTGTTCCAGAAATAAAGGCTAATGTTGTTGAAATTACAAAATACTTCCATAACAACCACTTTGCAGCAGCTGCTCTGAAAAAGGTGGGAGGAACCAAGCTAACTCTCCCACAAGATGTGCGATCGAACTCAGTAGTGGACTGTTTTAAGCACTATATCAAGAACTGGTCTAATCTGATGATAGTTTGTGAACAAAATCGTGAAAAAATAGATGGCACTGTCACAGCCAAAGTTCTCAACATTGGGCTTAAGAGAAATGTTGAACACATGCCGAGTACCTTGAAGCCTATTTCTATAGCCTTGAACAAAAGCAGGGAAATAGCTGTTTTATTGTTGACGCTGTTGAAATTTGGAAGGAATTTGGAAGGAAACTAAGTGAGAACTTAAAAAGAGAAATATGCAATGATAGAGTTAAATTACAAGCATTAAAAAAACGGATGGGACAAGCACTATCTCCAGCTCATTTTCTTGCAAATATTCTCAATACTCGGTATCAGGGTCAAACTTTAACTGCTGAAGAAGAGGAGTTGGCTATGACATGGACATCCAGCAATCACCCCTCCATAATGCCAACTATAATAAACTTCAGAGCTAAGGGTTAACCATTCAAGAAATATATGTTTGCTGATGATGTTTTAAAGAAAGTCACACCAGTGAACTGGTGGAAATCACTTAAGCACTTGGATTCAGAGACTGCTGAAGAGATAATCTCACTTTTAGCAGCAGTACCTTCTTCTGCCACTGTAGAAAGAATATTTTCTTCCTTTGGACTAATTCATTCCAAATTGAGAAATCGTTTGGAACCTGAAAAGGCAGGAAAGCTTGTTTTTCTTTTCCAGATTATGAACATACAGCAAAATGAAGGTGAAGACGACTAAGCCAATATTTTAAGTTTCTCATGTTGACCTGGCTGACAGTCGATTTAATTTTTGTTTCTTAAAAATATATATATATTTAATTTAACTATTTTAGTTAAAAACAATTTTAAGAAAAACAAACCTGATTTTAAAAAACTTGAATGTTTAATTAAATTCAAAAATTCATATGCTTGTTTTGTTAAAATATAATATGTTTTGCTGTTGAAGAAAAAAATCCAGAATACACAACATTGTTATTTTAGTTAAATAAAACAATTTAAATGTCTGTCTGGTGATGTTCTCCTCCTAATACAGTATGGCAAGAAAATCCTCCAAATATTAATGATTAACCTGTTGAATTGGAGACAGTTCACCTCCCAATGACTTCATAAATATCTGCTTCAATTACCTTTGGTAAATGAATCATTCATTTTCTGATATAGTTATAAAACTAATCTGAAAAGTTTTCAAAATAAATCACTTTAAAAATGCATAGTGTGTATGTATCTTCTAAAAATGAAACCTACATCTATCTCTGAGTTGTGAAGAATATGTATGGAAGGTTATAACAACCAACATGAATGCACTTTTATGTAGAAATCCATATTAAATCGAGTCTTCCTGACTAGTGATTTAAATCAAATCCACCTTACTTTCAACACTACTTTATAGTGCAGAATGCTGGGGAATGAGAAAGTACGACATGTCCAAACTGTCTTCATTCCATACAACCTGCCTCAGAAAAATCCTCCGTATCTTTTGGCCCAGAACAATCTCAAACCAAGATCTATTGACACAGTCCAGCCAAGAGGATCTGAGCACCATCATTGCCAGGAGGCGTTGGAGATGGATCGGTCATGTGCTCCAGATGGAAACTGATTCTATCACCAGAGTTGCAATAAAATGGACACCTGAAGGCAAGCTAAAATGAGGCCACCTGAAAACAACATGGCGAAGAGCTGTGGAAGCCGAGCTAAAAACCTGGGGCACATCTGGGGAACCACTGAAAGACTTGTCAGAAATAGACGAGTGAAGGAGCTTCATCACTGCCCTAAATGCCAGAGGTGTAATAGGAACATCATGATGATGATGACGACAACAACTAGCAAACTGTAGACTTCCATCTTGGTTGGTTCCTCTTGAAGCTACTATAATATAAGTAAGTCATAAAGATACTACCTACAAAAATAAGCAAAACTTGGCCCTTCATTCAGCAAGCAAAGTTTTATGGGCTAATTGGGAGGTGTATACAGGTCCAGTGATAAATTTGAAAGGCTAGTTCTGTGTGGTATTTCTTCTCTTAGATCACTAGTTTTATAAGCAACACCCAAAAACTTTAAGGAGCATAATGTCAGTTTCATACTATTTTTAATTGTCTTTATTTGTTACAATACCACCTTAGAATTACAAGATTTTTGTACACTTTTTGAATATCTTTCCGTCCAGACATATAGACAGGTCAGTTTCACTTTCAGCTTCTAATACAATTGGGTCTGATCCTGCAAGGTGCGGAGAGCTCCCAACGTCTACAACAGTCAATGCAGGATCCAGGCTTAGTTCAATGTTGGGATTATGAACCCTACAAGGCAGTGCTTATTTGTTTGAAAAAATCTTCTATTTTTCAATCTAGATTCCAGGAACACATGACAAAAGCTCTAAGAGCAATAGAGAAGTATTGTTTTACAAAACTCACATTGGAAGCCAAATTTGAGCTGAGACTATCCCTTTCCACAAAAAAAGAAAGTATTCACCTGTCATCCTTTACAATGGTTATACAGTTGTTCTCCTTATTTATAAACTGTGCACACCAGAAAGCCCTGTAATTTTAGGGCCATACTTCCATTTATAATTTTAAAATGCAATAAGGTATAATATTTAAGTCAATGTTAAAACTTTTTGGGGGTTGGGGAGTCTGTGTCTACATACACTTCTCCTAACAACAGAAACTGGAAACCTGAAGTTTCAAGGCACACTAATCCATATCTATGGCCCCAAAACGCACTTCTAGCACTAACCTCACCTCCTGCCCTGGCTCACTAAGCCCTCACCCACCCCAGCACACTAACCATCCCCAGCCCTGTAACACACACACACAGACACACACACACATCCATGAGTCTTGAGCTAGGACTGCTGGCTCAGTGGAAGCATCACCAGGGCTTCCCAGTCACATAGGAAAACAAAAATTAGCCCTTTTTTGTGTATAAAAGATGGGAATTCAGATGAGGTCTTTAAAATTTGACTCCAGTATAGTCCTTAGAAGGGCTATTGTAAACAGATCACCTTTTCTGGGGAGTTCTTGGCTGGTTGGGCTACAATCCATGAGTCTTTGAGCTAGGCCTGCTGAGTCAGAGGAAGCAACACCAGGACTCTTCAGTCCAGGCCTCCCTTACACAAATGGGCAGCCTCCCTGGAACTGTGCCTCCAATAACCACCAAGAAACAAAATCAATCTACCTAAGCAGCTACATGCAAGAGCCAGGGAGGAATCCATTCGTTACTGCTGCCTCCTTCATTTCTCATAACTCTGGGGCTTGTGGGGAGCAGAAAGCCTGTAAGCATTCACAAAAGATAATTTCGTATCTTCTGCTGAATTCCCAACTCAGCCTGGAATTTCATTCCACAAATGTCTAGGTTGACTATGCCCATTTCACTGCTCCCCGGTGAAAGCAGAGATGTAACCAACAGTTTTGGCCTTAAGAGATGCCATTCTCCATCACTCACTCACACCCTTCCTCCTTCCCTCCCTCAAGAATTCAGAACTTGTGACTGCAGCTGCTTGTCTGCCCCAGGTTGTAACTCAAAACACATCACTGGGCCACTTCCATCACTGAATATAATGTCCATAAAATCCTAAACTACCTTTTGACAATAGAAAGGTTAGTGACAAGATGGGCCTTTTATATGCCCCCTTGTTGCAATGTGAGGTTCCAGACATTACAGCATTTAAAACCAACAGGGTCACATTCATTACTCTCTCTCTCTCTCTAAACACACACACACACACACCAACTCCAGCAGCAACCCTCACCTGGGCACTCTAAGCCCCGTCATCCATCACCTGGGTGCCCCCATCCAACCTGGCACACTAACTCTCTCCCTCAGCAGCTGCCTCTCCACTCTGGCACTATGCCCCAAATCCAATGGCAAACTAGCTCTTCCCTAGCTCACTAACCTCTGCCAGCACCAGCATATCCTACCTTAGATCATAACTCCCTCATCAGCTACCTTCTGATCTGAAACACTAAACCTCCAGCCTCCCAGACACTGCCACATCACAACACTGTAATCCAGACAACAACTCCATTCCTTCCCCCCACACACACACTCTGGCATGTCCCCACCCTGTCCTGGAAAACCGACACCCTCCCCTCCCTAACAAGCCAGTCTCCCTGGCCCAAAAAACCCACCCAACAGCCTAACTTTACCTCCCGTCCTGGCCACTAACCCCTCACCCACCCCAGTGCGATAATCCCCCAGCACCACAACCATCTCCCCACAGCCCCGGCTCGCCAACTACCCCCGCCCCAGCTCACTAACCACCAGTCCCCAAACTCAGCTCGCTAACCACCAACCCCAACCATCCCCCACTCAGCTCGCTAACCACCAGCCCGCAACTCAGCTCGCTAACCACCAACCTCGGCTTGCTGCCCACCCCTCTCTCCCCCGCACCAGCCCCGGCTCGCTGCCCCCCACACACACGCGCGCGTGCCCCCGGCGCTCGCTGGACTCTGGAGGGCGCAGCCGGGTTCCAGGGACTGGGGCTGCCTCCGGGCACGGCGCCCTGGGCAGGATCAGGCCGGCTGGCTCCTGGCACTCACCGGGCTGCGGGCCGGGCCGCCTCCTGCAGCGGAAGCCCAGCGCGGATGGGCGTCGGGGTGCTGGGGACGGGTCGCTGAGGCTCCGTGCGGCTGCCGGACTCTCCGAGCTGTGGCGCACGGCGCGGCCGCTGGCGGAGTCCCCTGGGCGGCAGCGGCAGCGGCCCGTGGGTCCCGTACGGCGAGGGGCGGGGAGGGCTCACCCACGTGATGGGCCCGTGTCATCCTGCGCAGCTGCCATCAGCCGCCGGTCCGGCGGGCTCCGCGCCCCCCGGGGGGACCCGGTAGCGCCCCGCACGCACAAGGGGGAGCCCCACGGCTGCCCCTGGAGACCTGCCCACGCCGCCTGCAGCCCGGGCCCGCACACACGGGGTCCTGCACGGGGCGGAGACTGCAGAACAAGCGAGCTGGGGAGGGTGTCTGCGCCTTCATGCCTCTGTGGGCCTGAGGGAAACATGACGTGTAAACACCAGAAGGAAGCTTATAAAACATATACAAAGTGTTATTTGATATCATGTATTGCAGTGTAAACGTAGCAAGCTGTAACTAAAAATAAACACAGCCCAGGCGTCACCCCCGCCAGGTTCACCCAATACACCGCGAACGCACCGATCAACCACAAGGCGGCCAGACTACAGGTTACAAAAGGTGTAGGCCGGGGGGGCAGGCAGTGCACAGAACAGCACCAGCGCATCACACCCGGCTGCCCCTGCCGTCAAAAAGGCCAGTTTGGCCTGACCCAGTAAAAAAATTGCCCAGGCAGGAAATAGGCCACATGCGAGCGCTGTATCTCACTCCCAGAATTAACAGGGACCTGCAAAAACCCAGACTAAAACCGTTGAAAAGCTGCTGTAAAAAATCAAACAGGGGCAATGGAGGGGAAAATGAAAGGCCATAGCAGAGGCCAAACAGAAGGGGGGCGGCCTACACTCCCCCTCAGGTGATGTGGCTGGCAAAGCAATTGCTAAGAAGCAAGATTCACCACTGCTCAAGGCACCCAAGTGCTTAGGGACATGGAGTCACTCAGGGACTAATGTATGCAGGAAGTGTGGGGGAAATCAGATTGGGCAGCATAATGCATCTTGACACAGAAACCATAGAGCTGCTTCTTGTTCTTAAGTAGGGCCCTACCAAAGTCAAGGTCCATTTTGTCAATTTCACAGCCAGGGGGGTTTAAAATTAGTCAGTTTCACCGTTTTAGATGTTTACATCTGAAATTTTACAGTAGTATTGTAACCATGGGGGAGGGAGGGGGTCGCAAGGCTATTGTAAGGGGGTCATGGGGTTGCCAGCCTTACTTCTGCCCTGCTTCTCCCAGAGGTGCTGCCTTCCATGGCCAGCTGCCTCTCTTAAAGCCTGTGCCCCAGCCAGCAGAAGTGCAGAAGTGAGGATCACAGGATATGGGGGGAGGGAGGTGAGGGGGGGTTACCATATGTCTAGTTTTCCCAGCAGCATGGAGGACTGATAGCTGGAGCCGCAGCCTTTCCACGCAGGGGTGTGTGTGTGTATGTGTATGTGTCAGCTCGAGCCACAGCCTCTCTGTGCGGGGTTTGTGTGTGTATGGCTGTTTGTGACAGGTTGAACTGTAGCCTCGCCATGTGGGGAAGTGACAGCCTGAGCTGTGCAGCTTCCTGCAGCGAGGGAAGGTTCCCGGAGGTGGGTCTGGGAGCCCTGGGAGCCGCCCCTGTACGGGAAGAGGAAGTCTTGTCCCTCCACATCCCCTGCTGGGACTAGCAGCTGGAGTCTTGCACAGGGTAGGACCACTCAGCTGGGCACCAAATTTCACAGGGAAGATCAGATTTCATGTTGCGTGAGGCATTTTTCATGGCTGTAAATTTGGAAGGGCCCTATTCATAAGTGGAAAAGAAGCATCTGTCAGACACTTTGAGGATAAGACCTGCCCAGCTGTAACCAAATCTTGGGTCACAGAAGGGAAGATAGCTTGTGAAGGGAATGCAGGAGTGCCCTCTGCAAGAACAGTCCGTCAGAAACCCTCTGCAGACACTGAGCAGCTTGTTGAGACTGTAAATCAGAGAGGCTCTTACCCAAAAACCACACAGATCGATTCCAATCTGAATAGTAGTACTTGTGTCACCTTAGAGACTAACAAATTTATTTGAGCATAAGCTTTCATGGTCTACAGCCCATGAAAGCTTATGCTCAAAAGGTGCCACAAGTACTCCTGTTCTTTTTGCGGATACAGACTAACACGGCTGCTACTCTGAAATCTGAATAGTGATGGCTGCCGCCAACTCCAACTTAACCAACCAGGAACAATCAGGCAGGATAAGCTTGGTCAACCCAGCCTGGGTAAAAGAAGAAGAAGGCTCCTGGAGGAGACAGCCTTGGAGGGGAAAAGAGGGTTTAAAAAGTGTGTATTGTCCAAGAGCCATGAACTGTAAAATGCCTGGTCTGGCTGAGCACTTTGCAGGAGCCACCAGGAGTTGAAAAGGCCATTGTAGAATGTAGGTAAATCCAGGCTAACCATGTCCTAGCAGAACAAATAAGAGTCAAAGCCCATCTCCCCAGCATGACAGAGGGGAAAGAAAGCCACTGAACAGACCAAATGCAAAAACCTGACACCCTACTCACCAGGTCAATGACCCTGTCTCTCTTATCTAACAGCAAGAACAGCAAATCAGAGTGAAACCAGTTGTAACAGTTCCAAAAAATGGTTGATGTGCCTCTGAATCTAGTCCAGGAGTTCTGATAAAGGGTCCAGATACAGCAGTAGGTGCTGCAACATTGAGGTCATGAAGTTGTTGGCAACCAAAGCCCATCCCCAAAAAGGAAGTCCAGTAAGGAGCCAGCACCATTTCTGCTGGAGGCCTTGCACCCTCCACTGCCATCTCCCACATCTATATTGTTCAAATCAGAAATAAAAAAACAACACTTTCATCCCAGAGGTGCCCCCATTATTGCAATGGGGAGGGCAGCAATTGGGAACCACTACACTGCCAAGATCCCAGTAAGATCAAATTGTTCTTTGCCCAATTGATTCGAGCAGAGGATGCCTGTTCGTATATTGCAGACAGGTGCAAAGTGCCTGCATATCACCTTCAGACATGATAAAAACTGAGATGTAATTAATATAGGCTGACAGACAAACCAGGAAAGCATCTGGCCCCTTGGGCAAAGGTAGGTCAGTCAATGGGCTTCTTATGAGGTGCAAGAATGGCTCCAGGCTCAGGGCAGATAACATCCCAGACAAAAGGCACCCCTGAAGAGCAGGTCTATGAACTGGTAAGCAGTAGCTAAGACCCTCCTTTAATCTTTAAAACACTAAAACATTATTGTACAATAAAAAATATATATGTGAAATAACTGGCCCAATCCAAAATGTTTCCAATATTTTAAAAAGATAGACACGGTCAAGTCTGTCAAAAGCTTTCTCCTGGTCCACTGAAATAAATCCCACATCCAGATTTAAAAGTTTGTGAAAGTAAAAATATAGAATCACAGAAATGTAGGGCTGGAAGAGGCCTCGAAAAGACATCAAGTCCAGCCCCTTGTCCTGAGGCAGGAACAAGTAAATCTAAACCATCCCTGACAGGTCTAACCTGTTCTTAACCTCCAATTATGGGGATTCCACAATCTTCCTTGTTAGCCTATCCCAGAGCTTAACTACCCTTACAGTTAGAAAGTTTTTCCTAATAACTAACCTAATTCTCCCTTGCTGTAGATTAAGCCCATTACTTTTTGTCTTACCTTCAGTGGAGATGGAGAACAAATAATCATCATCCATGTTCTAACAGCCCTTTAGCATATTTGAAGCCTATTATCTTCTTTTCTCAAGACTAAATATGCCCAGTTTTTTTAACCTTTTCTCAAAGGGGTGAGATTTTCTAAACCTTTTATCATTTTGTTGCTGTCCTCTGGATTCTCTCCAATTTGTCCACATCTTTCCTAAAGTGTGGTACCCAAAATTTGACACAGTATACAGTATATAATGAATTAAAAACAAAGGGGTGAGATTTTCTAAACCTTTTATCATGGAGGGCTTTGCAGCTTGTCACAGCATCACAGTGCAAGAGGGAACCCAGATTGGTGAGACAGAGGGCTCAGCTGTATCTCAGTTCCAGGTGGCACCCCGGGGAGGACGGGACCCATCACACTCCTCATTTATTGCAGGGCAGTAATCACCCTGAAGCCCAAGAAAGGGCCCTCTGTGACTTACTGAACTGGAGACCTATTTCTCTTTCATTATTCCGATTATAAGAGCCTAATCACAGCCTTTGAGAATCATCTGTAAAACTATCTGGCTCTTTGATACACCTTGATCAAACATATTTTGTCCCTAACCATCTGTGTTCATGAATGCTCTGGCCGGCCACTCATGAACCCACAATAGAGAGGCTGCAGCCAAAATACGCCCCCAGCTCCCCAGCCTAGGATCCCAGAGCTGTGCCGTCCTGCCCTGGTCAAAAACCTGACCAGTATGAATTTATTACGCAGTCCACCACTTCTACAAAGGAAAGTGGACGCGCACTGAGCTGAGATTTTTCCCTTTGTACTTCAAACAACACACAGTGTTTTAGGTAAATATAAAAAAAGTTTATTATCTACAGAAAGATAGATTTTAGGTGATTATAAGTGAGAGCAAACAAATCAAAGCAGATTACTTAGCAAATAAAAATGCAAACTAAGCCTAAAATACTAGATCAATAGGGTCTGAATTAGTAATATCCCACCCTGGCTGATGATACAAGGAGTCCACACAGGCTAGAAATTCCTTTAGCCGGGAACCAGCACTTCCTCCAGTTCAGTCTTTGTTCCTCAGGTGTTTTTAGGTGTTCTCTAATGCGGGGAGTGAAGTCCAGTCTTGATGTCACTTCCCCCTTTTATATCTTCTTCCAACTTGCTGGAAAACTCTTTTGCTGTGACCTGGGTCAAACAGTTCCCATTGTGCAGTGCTATCTCGAAGAAGTGTCTAATGTACACAGTACCTGGAGTAATCCTTGTGCTTGTGTGTATTTCTTCAATAAGCCATTAACATTGTTTGGCCTTTTTATTGCTGTACCTGAAAGGCTGCTTGTGGGTGTTCTTAACCTCACATGTTTCAGTAGCATATACATAGCCACACTTCATAACTTTATATACAATAGCACATACAATCCAATGAGATATTAATGTCTAGCAAATCAAGACTTTTAGAATGATACTTCACAAGGCATACTTTGTACAAAACATATCATAATTATATGACAGTGGTGAATATGGGGGTGCCAGGATGTCACAAGAAGCAGCTCCTTCTCTTGGACACATTCCATCAGGAAGAAAATCTGAACCAATAAGACACCAGAAATGTTCAAAAATTCAGCCTGTCAATACCTGAGGCCTTGCCTGTACAGAACTGCTGAACCATAACAGAGAGTTCCTGTAAC